CTTCCTTCCTTCCTTCCTTCCTTCCTTCCTTCCTTCCTTCCTTCCTTTCTTCCTTTCTTTCTTTCTTCCTTCCTTCCTTTCTTTCTTTCTTCCTTTCTTTCTTTCTTTCTTTCTTTCTTTCTTTCTTTCTTTCTTTCTTTCTTTCTTTCTTTCTTTCTTTCTTTCTTTCTTTCTTTCTTTCTTTCTTTCTTTCTTTCTTTCTCATAAAGTCATTAGCTTCCATTTGCTCAATTCTAACTTTTAAGGAATTCCTTTCTTTAGTGAGCTTTTGTACCTCCTTTTCCATATGGCCAATTATGCTTTTTAAGACATTTTTTTCACCTCATTGACTTTTTGGAACTCTTTTACAATTTGACTTAGTCTGTTTTTAAGGTGTCATTTTCTTCAGTATTTTTTTATGCATCCTTTCCAAGCTGTTGATTCATTTTTTCATGATTTTCTTGCATCACTCTCATTTTTCTTCTCAATTTTTCCTTTATCTCTCTTACTTGATTTTCAAAATCCTTTTTGAGCTCTTTCATAGCCTGAGACCAATTCGTATTTTTCTTGGAGGCTTTGGATGTAGGAGCTTTGATTTTGTTGTCTTCTGATTGTGTGTTTTACCTTCCTTGTCACCATAATAACTTTACAGTCAGAGTTTTTTTCCCCATTGTTTGCTCATTTTCCTAACTTATTACTTGATTTTTAACTGTTTGTTAAAGTAAGGCTCTACTTCCAGGTGGAGGGTGCACTGTCTCAATCTTCAGGTTTTTGTGCTGTTGTTTTCAGAGATATTCTAGGGATTCTGAGATTCTATTCCATTCCATTCCATTCCATTCCATTCCATTCCATTCCATTCCATTCCATTCCATTCCATTCCATTCCATTCCATTCTATTCTATTCTATTCTATTCTATTCTATTCTATTCTATTCTATTCTATTCTATTCTATTCTATTCTATTCTATTCTATTCTATTCTATGATTCTAGAGACCTGTAAGTTTTCAGTTCTTCCAAGGTGGTGTGATCTAAGGAGAGGTGTGTTTGCTACTCCTCTGGCCTGTGCTCTGGTCTGTGAGTGACCACAAGCTCCCTCTTCTTCCCTGCAACTGTGAGGAGGGTCCTCCCTCCACTGTGGCTGCAACCTCTGGCATGCTAGTGTTCCTTCTCACCCTGGGGCTGCCATCTAGGACTGTGACCTGGATCCAGGTATGGGTAAAGTAACAGAGTCCTGCCTCAGAGCTAGCAAAGAGACCCCAGTAATCACCTTCTGGTCAGTTGTTTGACCCCCTTACCATCTGTGGGCTGAGAATTCTGGAAGCAGCTGCTACTACTGCTGATTCAGTGGCTCCCAAGGTCTGCTCCTGGTTTGCTGAGTCTGTGCTGGCATAGCCTGTGCTGGACTGAGCACTTCTCTCTCTCTGGTACAACAGACCTCTCCTGCTGACCTTCTAAGTTGTCTTGGTCTGGAAAATTGTTTCACTCCATATTTTTGTGGATTCTGCTGCTCTAGAATTTGTTTAGAGTTATTACTTAGAGGTACTGAAGGGGTTTGAGGGAGAGCTCAGGTAAGTTCTGCCTTCACTCTGCCACTTTAGCTCCACCTCTCTCATTGATACATCTTCTTACATTAAGACAAAATGAGACAAAATCCTTGCCCTCAGGGAGCATACAATCAAATGGTAAAAGAAGCAACATGCAAATAAAGAGAGGCCTGAACAAGATGCTATAGGAAATTGAGAGGACAATAAATACTTGAGGGTAGAGGTGAAAAAGCTTTCTGATCTCTTTTGGGCCAGCCATCTAACAATAGTTTCACAAGGGTATTCCAGATTCAGCTTGTGAGAGTTAATTGTTAAATGTCCAGTATGAGAATTTACATCTCAGAAATAGAGCAAAAGCTACAAAGTTGGGGTTGATTTATTGTTTTGTTGATTGTCTAGACTTGAGAAACTGATGGAGAAATTACTAATAATGTATATTAAACTTAAAAATGTTTCTGCAGTACTTTTTCCCACAGAGAACCAGTTGTTAAATTCTTACCAGTGCACCACTGGCTATTTATTACTCTTTTTGAAGTTTAATATTGAAGAAAAAAATAATAGATTGGCTTACTGATTGAGGGTATAGCAAGGTTAATGGGAGGGTATTGTCTGTGTGTGTGTGCATGTGTGCATGTGTGTGTGTGTGTGTGTGTGTACATACTAAGGATATGGTAGCTTGCAGTATATCTGGAGACTGAGGAGGAGGGATAGGTTAGGTTGAAGTTGCATGATAGAAGGTAGGGGATGATTGATGGAGCATTTCAGGAGGAAGTAGGAAGGCATGCGATCAAAAGCATAGATGAACCAAGTTGTTTTCTGAGAATTGAGGGAAGGAGTTAAGGCTTTGTGGCAATATATGGTAAGTGTATTTATTTATTTCTCATTTTCCATTCTATATCATATTTATCTAGAGGGCAGAGCAAACAACTCCTCCCAAAGCCTCCATTTAAAGAGCGTTCCCCAGCCAGCAAGTCTTCATTTCCTACCACTTCATTTCTGTGTGCCATGGACTGGACTTCTTTTCTCTCTCTTACCCTTTTACAGCATCCTATTATGTGTGGTCTTCCCTCATTAAATTATAAGCTCCTTGAGGGCAGGGATGGCCTCTTTTTCTTATTTGTATCCCAGCACTTAATGCAGTGCCTGGTACATAGTAGGCACTTAATAAATGTTTATTGATTGACTAAATGATCTATGTATATATCTTAGTGCTTCTACTAGGTCATTAGTTCCTTGAGGGCAGAGATTAGTATTTTATTTATCTTTTTATCTCCCTCAGGTCTAAGAATGTGTCTGCATATAACAATTTCTTAATATATTTAGAGAGACCAGCAATTTGTTTGCTGTAAGTAAATTGAGCAAAGGTTGCCAGTTCCATGAGTTCCATCTGGCTCTTTTAGGTCTTTCTCCTGAATGTATTTGTATGGACCAGATAGGCTAAACCAAGTTGAAGGTAACCAATGGGACTCAAAGTCATTGGTGAGTTAAAAAGATGTCTACCCCAAACATGTGAAGACTTCTCCCAGCAGAATGGGCAGATGAGAAAATTTGTTCCAGCAGCCATGAAGCAGGTGTTGTGGAGCACTGAGAGCTGATTGACTGAATATCCTAATTAGAGATAGCAAAAATAAGAATGTACTGCCTTTTGGAATAATAAATTTCCTCATCACTGAAAGTCTTAGAGTGTAAAGGAGGACAGGAAACTAGGTGCATTGGACTTGAATTCAAGAAGAACTGAATCCGCTCTGTGCCACCCCAATTCTGCCGAGCTCGCCAGATTGCCCTGAATGAATGAACGAAGGAATGCCAGTTGCAAGGCCTCACCATGCTGCTCCCTGTGGCCTTGAAGTCCCACCTGGCCAAGCACAGCATCCTCAAACACATGGAGCCCAAGTCAGAGGAAGAGATCATTGCTGAGGACTATGATGATGACCCTGTGGACTACGAGGGCACTAGGATTAAGAGCATGCTGCCCAACTGGTACAAAGCATTTGTCCCAGTCTGTGCTCTTCCTTACTATTGGAATGTGGAGACAGACCTTGTGTCCTGGCTGAATCCCCATGATCCTAGCTCTGTCATCACCAAAGCAACCAAGAAACTCAGGAGCAACTTGGATCCAAAAGATAAGCTGGATCATGGCTATGAAAAGCTAGAAAGGAAGGACATGAAGGAATGACATTACCATGGCAGGGAAGAATTCGCCCCTTACCGCAAGGGCAAGAACACCAGCCAGAAAGATCAAGAATTGGATCCTATGGACCTTAGTGCCTATTCTGATGCCCCTCGAGGTACATGGTCTACAGGTCGCAAGAAGAATGAGGCAAAGGCAGGGGCTGATACAACAGCAGCTGGGCTCCTTTTTCAGCAACGGCCATACCCCTCCCCAGGGTCAGTGCTTCGACCCAATGCTGAGGCCCTAGGGGCCAAACAGCAAGACTAAGACTGAGCCCACCCTCTTCTCCAGACATTCCCAACCCTTGTGTTCAAAAAGTGCTTTCCTTTGAAGAAGAAGAAGAAGAAGAAGAAGAAGAAGAAGAAGAAGAAGAAGAGAATTCAAATTCCACCTTAGACTTGGCAACTGGTTGGATGTGTAGCACATTAACATTGCATCAATAATCAACAATAACCCCAGTGAGGGTAGGTCATAATCCCAATACTACCATGGCTTGGACTAGATTAGTGCTTCTTATATTATGGGTTGTGATCCCATATGGGGTCACAAAAATTTGGCAACAGTAAAAGGTTTCTGAATGCACAACAAACAAAAATTAATTAAAAATCAAACACATAATGAATCCAAGGTGTTTCTGGCAGCACTTGCCCATATTGCATCACATAATTTCACTGCAGCCTTGGTTCTGAACACAAAGCATGCACACTTTGTACTGCACATGCCTTCAGGCCATGCAATGTCAACAAACACTGCGGAAATGTGAAAAAGGGGTCACAAGTAGAAGAAGTTTAAGAAGCCCTGGGCTAGATGACCTGTAAATTCCCTTCCAACTCTTTTCCTTCTAGCCACTAGAGTAACTAATCGTTTCTCTTACCCACCAATGAATTGCTTTAATTATGTCTCATTTTTTTCCATTATGAATTACAAAATTCATTTTAACATGCATTTAGCACTGATTGTCTCCAGAGCCAAAATTGCTTGTGGTGGGTTTGAGTATGGATCCTATTTCTTTACTTCAAAACCATACCAATCACTTGGTTTGATAGGTCAGTGAAGTGTCACAGGTCTTATTTAGGGCTATAAGAGTGACCTGCTATTTGCTTAGGTCTAAGTCAGTGCATCATAATTATATAGTGCTTTAAGGTTTACAAAGCACTTTCCTTTTTTTAACCTTATTTAATATTTTGTTTGTCCCAATTTCATATAAAACTAATTTTAACATTCTTTCTTTTTCTAATTGTGAGTTCCAAATTCTCTCCCTTCCTCCTCTTATAGGTAATACATGTGTAATTACACAAAACACATTTCCATGAAAGTCATTCTGTAAAAGAAAACACAGACAAGAAAAAACAAGAAAAATGAAGAAAGTAAAGAAAAAGTGTCTTTGATCTGCATTCAGGCTCTACCAGTTCTTTCTCTAGAAATGGGCAGCACCTTTCATCATAAGTCTTACAGAATTGTCTTTGATTATTGTATTGCTGAGAAGAGTTAAGTTATTCACGATAGATCATCATAAAAATATTGCTGTTATTGTGTACAATGTTCTCCTGGTTCTGCTAATTTTACTTTGCATCAGTTCATGTAAGTCTTTCCAGGTTTTTCTGAGAGCATCCTGCTTATCATTTCTTAAAGCATAATAATATTTCATCAGAATCTTACACAACAATTTTTTAGTCATTCCCCAATTAATGGACATCATCTCACTTTTCAATTCTTTGCCACCACTAAAAGAGCTCCTATGAATATTTTTATACACATAGGTCCTTTTATTTATTTTTTTTATTTCTTTCAGGATACAGACCCAGTAATGGTATTGCTTGGTCAAAGGTTATGCATGGTTTTATAGTCCTTTGAGCACAGTTCCAAATTGCTCTCCACAATGGTTGAATCAGTATACAACTTCATCAGTAGTACACTAGTGTTTTAATTTTCCCACATCCCCTCCAACTTTTGTCACTTCCTTTTCTGTTATATTAGCCAACCTGACAAGTGTGAGGTGGTAGCTCAGTTGTTTTAATTTACATTTCTCTCATTAATAGGGATTTAGAGCATTTTTTTCATATGACTGTAGATATCTTTGATTATTTTGTCTGACAGCTGCCTGTTCATATCCCTTGACCATTTATCAATTGAGGAATGGTACTTATTTCTATAAATTTGACTCAATTTTCAATATGTTTGAGAAATGAAGTCTTTATCAGAGAAACTCATTGTAAAAACTTATTTTCACAGTAATGATTAGGAACCATGTATTTCCCTCCATCCTATTTCCCCCCTATTTGTTCTACTCTCTCTCTCCCTCCTTTTACCCTGTCTATTCTCAGAAGTGTTTTGCTTCTGACTTTTCTTCCCCTATGCTGCGCTCCCTTCTATCACTCCCCTCACATTTTATCCCCTTCCTCTTACTTACCTTTATGGCGAGAAAGATTTCTACACCTGACTGAATGTATATATTATTCCCTCTTTGAGCCAATTTCAATGAGAGTAAGGTTCATATACTTCCCTCCCAATTATCCTTATTTTCCTCTCTACTGTAAAATCTCTTTCAGGCCTCTTTTATATCAGATAATTTATCCTATTCTACCTCTCCCTTTCCTCTTTCTCCCAGTGCATTCTTCCTTATCCCTTAATTTTATTTTCTTTAGATAATCATAAATAACATTCAACTCACACTTCTGCTTTCTGTCTATGCATCCTTCTTCTAACCTTCCCAATGATGAGAAAGTTTTTAGGAGTTATAAGTATCATTTTCCCAAGTACGATTATAAACAGATTAGCTTTAATTAATTCCTTAGGTTTGATCTTTTCTTTTTACCTTCTTATTCTTCTTTTGCATCTTGTATCTGAAAGTCAAATTTCCTATTTAGCTTTGGTCTTCTCATCAGGAATGCTTAAAAGTCTTCTATTTCACTGAATGTCCATTTTCCCCCCTGAAGGATTATACTCAGTTTTGCTGGGTAGGTGATTTTTGGTTGTAATCCTAGCTCCTTTGCCCTCCAAAATATCATATTCTAAGCCCTCTGATCCTTTAATGTAGAAGCTGCTATGTCTTGTGTTGTCTGACTATGGCTCCATGATATTCGAACTGTTTCTTTTTGGCTGCTTGCAGTATTTTCTCCTTGACCCAATAATTCTAGAATTTGGCTATAATATTCCTGGCTGTTTTCATTTTGGGATCTCTTTCAGGAGGTCTTTCAATTTCTATTTTATACTCTTGGTCTAGAATATCAGGGCAATCTTCCTTGAGAATTTCTTGAAAGATAATATCTAGGCCCCATTTTTTTTATTGTGTCTTTCAGTAGTCTAGTCTAATAATTCTTAAATTATCTCTCCTGGATCTGTTTTTCAGGTCAGTTGTTCTTCCAACAGGATATTTCACATTTTTTCCTATTTTTTCATTCTTTTTGTTGTGTTTGATTGTTTCTTAATGTCTCACAAAGTCATTAACTTCCACTTGCCCAATTCAAACTTTTAAGGAATTATTTTCTTCACTGAGCTTTTGTACCTCATTTTACATTTGGCCAATTCTACTTTTTAAAGAGTTCTTTGCAATGATTTTTTGAATATCTTTTTCCACTTGGTCAATTCTGCTTTTCAAGGCATTCTTTTCTACAATGGATTTTATTGCTTGTTTACCATTTGGCCTATTCTGTGTTTTAAGGTGTTATTTTCTTCAGTATTTTTTGTGCATCCTTTACCAATCTACTGACTCTTTCTTGATGATTTTCTTGTATCACTCTCATTTCTCTTACCAATTTTTCCTTTATCTCTTGATTTTTAGGAAAATTTTTGAGCTCTTCCATGGCATGAGACCAATTCATATTTTTATTTGAGGTTTTGGGTGCAGGAATTTTGACTTTGTTGTTTTCTTCTGAGTTTGTGTTTTGATCTTCCTTGTCACCATGGTAATTTTTTTCCTGTTTGCTCATTTTCCAGCCTATTCTTGACTTTTAACTCTATGCTAAAGTGGGGCTCTGCTTCCCAAATGAATGGTGGCACTGTCTTAAGCTTCAGGTTTTTTTGTGCAGCTATTTTCAGAGGTAATTCTGGGGACCTCTAAGTTTTTGTTTCTTCCGCGGTGGTATGATCTAGGGAGACGTGTGTTTACTACTCTTTTGTACAGTGCACTGATTTGTGAATGACCACAAGCACTCTTTTCAACCCTAGAACTGTGATCAGGGTCTCTACTCCCCTGTGGCCACAAGCTCTGCTGTGTTAGTCTTCCTCCTTGCATTGGGACTAAGACTTGGATTTGCAACCCAGATCAAAGTATAGGTAACAGAATCCTGCCCCTGCTGCTGGCAAAGGGACCCCTGTAAATTTCCTTCTGACCTGTTGCTCCAATCTCATTACCATCTATGGGCTGAGAGGTCTGGAAACTGCCACTGCTGCCACTGATTCACTCACCCTGAGGCCTGTTCCTGGTTTGCTGGGGCCTGATCTCTGCTGGCTCAGTTTGGGTTGGTGTGGCCTGTGCTCCTCTCTCACCCTGGGGCAACAGACCTTTCCTGATGACCTTCTAAGTTGTCTTGGACTGGAAAATAGTTTTGCTCCATCTTTTTATAGGTTCTACTGCTCTAGAATTTGTTTAGAGTTATTATTTAAAGGTATTTGGTGGGGTTTGGGGAAGAGTTCAGGTGAATCCCTGCCTTTGCTCTGCCATTTTCACACTTTCCTTTTTGATATAAGTATTAGAGCAGGGTTTGGAAGCGATGTTTTCTTGGAGAGCTTGGGAAAACTCTTAATTTACTAGTGATGACCCCACCCAAGATTAATACCTTGGCAAAACTGTAAAGCAGGCAAAATTTGTCTTTGGTGCCTTATTAAGATCATTTCTGTGCCCTCTCTATTCTCTTTTGGCACTTCCTTCTTCAACAGTTCTTTTAAGAGAAGTGTCAAATATCCCTTCCTTTCTCATACTCTAGCAGGGGTCCTTAACCATTTTTGAGTCAGGGACTCCTTTGGCAGTCTGGTGAAATCTATGTACCTCTTCTCAAAATAGTGTTTTTAAATGAATAAAATAAAATACATTGGATTACAAAGGAAGCTGATTATATAGAAATTAAGTTCTCTCTCTCTCTCTATATATATATACACATACATAACAATATGCACATATATATATTTATATGTGTATATATGGATGTAAACATATACCTCTATTGTAGGTGTGTGTATGTGTGTGTGTGTGTGTGTTTGTGTGTGTATAATCAGATGAGTTTATAGACCCCACAGGTTAAGAACTCCTACTATGAATCTTATCTGAT